CGCGCGCTGGGGGCTGCGCGGCGCCTCCAGCCGGGGGCGCTCCCGGAATCCCGCGACCCGGGGGACGTCGCCGGGTCCGCTCCCCTGCGCTGCCGCTTTCGGGGCCGTTTCCGCCTGTGGGAAGGGGGAATCCATCGCGTGCAGGAAGCGCCGCGGTTTCTACGAGCAGCGAGAACCAAGCGGGGCGAAGCGGGCGGGACGCGTCCCTGGAAGCGTTTCGCACAACGCGGATTCGGAGCAAGTCCGGCGTGGGCATGGGGGCTGCTTCGGGGACAACCAGCGCAACCCCCGGTGTCACCTGGCGGCGCAGCTCCCCGTTCACCACAGCACCACGCGGACGGCGCGACCTGACGTGACACAAGGTGGCGCGAGTCCCCCTGCACAGGGAACGGCGCCGGGTCCGAGGCGGCCCGGCTCGTCGTGAACGGCGCAGCGGGGCTGGGGGAGCATCGGGAACCCCCCTAGGAAGGTCGAGGAGGGAAGGGCCCGTGGCCTGGAGCTCCTGCCCTGCCGGGGAGCTCCCTGCCCCATCCGCGGAGCAGACGCTCGAACCAAAGCAGCTGAAACACGAGAGCCAAAGAACCTCTGCCCACCGAGATACCCCCTCTAGGCAGAGCAGCAGAACCAGGGAGATGCGGCCCTGTGTTTGCGGGCCGAGTCCAGGTGGATTTGCTGGTGTCTAATATGGGGTTGAGCCGCCCTTGCTCTTCTGCGCTTTCTCTTTTCATGGGAGTTATTGGTGTTAAACTTGCCCTTAAGAGCCTGTGGTGCTGGTCAGTGCATTTCAAGGGCCCTCCAGGCAAACACAGAGCTTGCAGCCTTGGTGCAAAACCCAGAGGTTTTAGCTAGGCTGAAGCCTGCAGCGCGGTCCCTGCTGCAGCAGCGCTCCTGCCCGCACACAGCGTGCGGCTGCCTGCCCTGCGCCTGGTCCGCGGGATATCAAATCCAGGGAAGGAGGCCCCATCCCTCCGGGCTTACGGGGCTCAGAGTGGTCCGTGCAGCGGTGCCCTCAGGGCTCCCCTCCCAGCACGGGGCTCTGCTGCTCCACAGTTACTTCTCCCCGAGGCCAAACTCCCCTTCCCAAACATGTATTGCATCCCCATGGAAACCCCAGTGCTTATTTATTTTCCTCATTGCATTTTTTTAAAATAATTTACTTCCCCTCCCCCCTTTCGAGGGGGATTATTCGAAGGAAGGAAGGAAGCCCAAACTCGGATGTTTATTTGTTCTGTCCTGGCCGATGTTCCCTTGGTCTCGCTCCAGTGGCCGATAAACTGGCAGGGGAGCGGAGCGCGGAGCACGGCGGAGCCTGGGAAAGGCCAGGACCTGCTTCCTGCGGCCTGCCGTCACCCGCGCGCGGTGCCCGGCCCGGGGGGGCTGTCGCGACGCCC